CTTAAAATTATTTTTTCTAGATCTGCAAAAAATGATGTTGGTATTTTAATAGGCATTGCATTGAATCTGTAGATCACTTTGGGTAGTTTAGACATTTCAACAATGTTGATTCTGCTGATCCATGAGCATGGTATGGTTTTCCACCTGTTTACGTCCTCTGCTATTTCCTTCCTCAGTGTTTTATAGTTCTCCCTGTAGAGGTCTTTCAACTCCCTAGTTAAATATATTCATAGATATTTTATTTTCTTTGTTGCTATTGTGAAGGGTATTGAGTCTTTGATTTGGTTCTCAGTTTTACTGTTGTTGGCCTATAGTAATGCTACTGATTTCTGTACATTGATTTTGTAACCTGTGACTTTGCTGAATTATTTATCACTTCCAGTAGTCTCATGGCAGAATCTTTGGGGTTTTCTAAATATAAGATCATATCATCAGTAAAGAGTGATAGTTTGACCTCTTCTGACCCTATTTGGATGCCTTTGATTTTCTTCTCTTGTCTGATTGCTCTGGTTAGTTCCTCCTGCACCTCTTGCACTATGTTGAATAGAAGTGGTGATAGAGGGCAACCTTGTCTGGTTCCAGTTCTAAGTGGGAATGCTTTCCATTTTTCCCCATTCACTATGATGTTGGCTGGGGTTTGTCATATATAGCTTGTATCATTTTTAGGTAAGTCCCATATATGCCTATTTTGTTAAGGGTTTTTATCATAAAAAGGTGCTGAATTTTGTTGAATGTGCTTTCTGCGTCTATTGAGAGGATCATATGGTCTTTCTTTTTACTTCTATTTATGTGTTGAATTACATTTATAGATTTGTATATGTTGAATCATACCTGCATCTCTGCAATGAAGCCCACTTGGCTGTGGTATGTTATTATTATTTTTTTTATTTCGGCATATTATGGGGGTACAGATTTTAAGGTTTCAATAAATGCCCTTTCCCCCCTCCCCCCACAAGTCTGAGTCTCCAGCATGACTATCCCCCAGATGGTACACATCTCACTCATTATGTATGTATATACCTGCCCCCCCTCCCCCTGTTATTTTTTTTGATAAGCATCTGAATTCAATTTGCTAAGATTTTGTTGAGAAGTTTTGCATCTATATTCATAAAGAATATTGGTCTCTACTTACCAGTACATACTTTTTATTACAATAGAATTTAAACATACAAGTGTGATTACATGCATAGTGTGTTATAATATGAAAATTATTTTCTCACACTGTATGAGATCTTTCAACATCTGTCATTCCTGCCCCTCTTCATTTTATACCACCAGCAGATGCTGCATGTGCCACCACATTCTGTTTCAGCAGTAAATTCTCTTGGGGAATAGATACTGAGGAAGAGATGAGAGGAGTGAAGGATTATTGGAGTCCTTGTTGGAAAACGCACCTGTAGCATGGGAGGAAGGCAGGCATGGATGCAGGGTGAAGGTGCCCATAGTGCAGTTGCACTGAAGGCTTCACACATGGGAGAGCTGAGGAGAGACAAAGCTCAGGTTTGCCCCAAATTGTGGCAAAAAGGCAGGTCTTTGTATCCAGTCAGTGGCTGCAGGCTATCCCCTGGGAAGGGTATAAATTTGGGTATATCAGCCTTTGCACTTGAGTGCATGTCCCAGAGAGGGACACTCCTGTGAGCCATGAGCAGCTGATATTCTCAGCTGCTGGCGTCCGGTGTTTTGACCTCAGGAGGGGCCTGGGTGGACTATCAACATACCCATTGCCCATAACAATCCACTAGTTGTTGATTACCTGATACATAAGGCCACCCCCAGGGACTTTACATGGAAACTATCATGATGTGGATGTTTTAAAACTTGAGTCACATATAGATGACATGGATTAAATGGTATATGACATGCCATGTTCCCTGTATGTGGAAGAATGGTAATTATTATAGAATCAATGGCTATCCGATTACACAGCATGTCCCTTTGACCACTATGTTATATAATGAGTATAAACTACTTTTAACACAGGCAATAAGTGAGAGGACAAACTAGACAGCCCAACACCAATGGCAACATGGTAGTTGTTACAAGACAATGGGTCATCCAAAAGGAACACCTGGGGGTGTTATGGGGCCAGTGGTACCTTGTTCCTCCTGGACACCCCTGATTGGCCATTCATCACTGAGAGTAGGGCTATAGGTTGAGACCAAGGATGGAGTCATTTCCTTGTTCTCAAATAATAGATTTAGGGACAATTAATATTTAAGAGAACATATATAAGATACATGATCACACAAAAATGTGTCAGGATCCAGCTGGTGTCACTGGGGTGAACATTTAGTTCTGTGTTTACCAGGGACAGATACAAACAATAACATTCTATGGAACCATGTATCAGTTTCTGATAATACAGGAGAGGATAGATGTCATACAGTGTTTTGTTTTGTTTTGTTTTTGGTATAAATATGTGAATAGGGGTTTTATGGGAGATTTTTTTCAACTATTCGAGTTTCTAATGAACTAGATTCACATTAAAAATACACAGATTTGGAAAGATTCTTTAAGGCATAAACTAAAGCTTTAGAGGGGAGAAGAGAAAGCTTACAAATGGGACAGAAAATAGAATTTGAATTACATTCCTCATATTCAATTAGTTAAAACAACAAAAATCCTAGACATAGGATGAAAGATTAGAAGGTCAACATAGCATTTGGTTTCAAATTTTATTTATCAATCCTAGGATGTGACAGAGTCAGATAAGGCTTTTTCTAATAAAACCCCTGTCATTTGGTGGTTAAGAAGAAAAAATGGAAAAGGGATGTTAGTCTTGCCTATTTTCCACCATTCTCACGAAAATGGGAGATTTCCTGTATTTTCATAGCAAGTGAATGTCAATTTCCCTTTTCTTTACCATCATTAAATTGTTGGTAAAGTGGTATACTTCACAAAAAAATGATGTTTGCATCATAATGAATGTGTTATATTTTTCATTTTGTACATTTAATAGCAGATTAAACATGATTTAATTTGTTAAGCAACAACCAGAAAAATAATACATGGTTCCGTTGGTGAAACATACAGTTGCAAGAATTATTCACAACAGTGGGGGTGGAATTTATGGGAACTTCTGTATAATTTTCCTCATTTTCTTCACGACAAAAATATTTCAAAGTTCTGAAATGATTCCTTAAAAAAGATGATGCATTTAGTTCTCGAACAACCAAGACTAAAAGTAAATAATCAACAGAGCATGTGATACTGCTCATGCAGCGCTGTAACACGGTGGTCTGGAGATGCTTGTAAGGGGAGCAAAGAATCAAATTGTGTCTCACTTTAAACACATGAAATGCTCCTCCATCAAATATGGGGACGCTGCCATAATCCACCTGGCATATTCGGCTGCTATGGGGACACATTTGGACAGGAATGATAACCCCACCCCAGGGGAGGCCTTTGAAAGCTCTGACAGCCCCGAGCCGACCACAGAAATCCTCCCTTTGGAACTCATGTTTCTGGTCCAGCCATCACCTCTTCATAAACTCTACCCCACCCTTTTGCCTGACAGACTGAGCGCGAACTGTGGCGGTGCTGCTTAACTTCGCACTGACCCCTTATTTTCAAGGTCAGTTCGGAGCTACGCTATATTTCGTGCAATGTAATGCTTTCTTTAGGGTGTTGTTCCCGCACTCTCTTTTACAATCATCTTCTTTCAAGGCTCATGCTATTGAAGCACACAACCCGCTCCCTCTCATGGGGACAATTCACTGAACTAGTGGCTACTCCCTCTCGTTTGCAGATGACACTAGGGTCATGAATTTCTTTCCTACTCAAATTCTTCCCTCACCATGTAACCATCTTTCCTTTCATGCCTAATTATCTCACTCATTCTCGTAGCCATACTTTTGGCTTTGTTGTCAGCCCAAACTAAACAATGTCCTAATTCCTAATTTAAGCCACCAAACCTCTAAGTCCACATAGCTCAAATAACCCTACTACAGCTGTGTAATTATTTTTCACTCCGGACTTCTATTCTTTGTTTCACTTACCTCCTATACAGGCAGGCCAGTATCACAACAAATCAATGATACCCTACTTTACCTAAGCCCTCACGTTTGCCCCCAAATCCGCCCCTCCGTCTTCCTCCATCAGCTATCCATCCCATTTTGCGAAGTGAGTGTGGAATGCCTCTGCACTCCAAACATGGACCTACGATCTCTATGGCGAATAAAAGCTATTGAGCATGTCTCAGAAACATGAGCCAGCCAGTAAGTCCGCAGGTGAGAAACTGTGCGAGTGCTGTCTCCATCGCTGTACACTTTAAACCCATCAGCTCGCAGCTAACCTCTCTTTCTGTCTCCCTCAGTAAATAAAATACTTTCCCAATTGAATGCTGGCAATTACACATTTGCCCTAGATCCCTTCCTGTTCAATCTCAGGCTGTCAGTTATCACTCTCTGTATCCATCCTTAGATTTTTGATAACTCATGGACCCTTCCCGCAAGCGTTTAAACTTCCTCAGACCCTGACATTTACATCTTACATCTTACCGAAATACAACTACCCCCCCCCAACATGACATCTTTCTCTCACCCTCTCAAAATACATTTCTCGGGATAATTGTTTGCACGCACGATTGTTCCATTTTCTTACAAGCCATTCCCGCCCCCACTGTCACCAGTCTGAAGTGCGACGCCCCATGCCAGAGGCGCGGCCCTTGCCGGGGACAACGGCGATCTCTGTGCTGAGCAGCGGCGGAAGCCTCTTCACCTCCGCCCTCCATCCTGCTGCCTCTTCCTCCCCGCGCGCTGGCTCCAGAGCGTGCACAGCCTCCTCACAGGCAGGCCCTCCTCCGCTGCGCTCGCTCCTTCTTGTTCTTTCTCTGGGTTTCTCTTCTTTTAATTAAGTTTTCATGCTGTTAGTCTCTCTCTAGTTTTTCTGATATACACACTCCCCCTAAAAGTTTTTTATTCATTTCCATATTTTAACATATTATCTCTATGTTGAAAACTTCCAAATTTTTAACTTTCAGCCAGGCCCTTCCTCTGAGCTCCAGATCCTTACATATGAATTCCCATGTGGCATAACTTCTCAAAGTTCGTCATGTATGGATCAGTAATCTTTTTCTCTCTGTACCCAGAGGTCAGCACCTACCAAATCGAACACACTAGAATTCGGGAAGGTAAGTTTGGTTAAGTATAAAGTCCAATTAATATACTAATCCGAGACCCTTGCGAGGTAAGACATTTGACTGTTTTCGATATCCCGCCCACGGAGAAGCCGAGACCAGTGAGGGCCCGTCCCTTCCACACGCAGGTGCTGCCCTGTCTCGGGTTCCAGGCGTCACATTCCTTCTGCCCAACGTTGAACCAGACGGATCCGAGAAGGACTAAGGGCAGTTCTCACAGGCCAAAGCCCAGGAGGAAGAGAAAACTCGAGGACTGGGAAAGGAAGGTGAAAGAACCCAAGGACAGCACATAATGGGGCGATGCCACCATCTGGGGGACGGACACGCTTCAAGGTCTGACTCTGGGGGGAGAGTGCAACACACGTAACCTAGACATTTGCACCCCATAATATGCTGAAACAAAAGAAAAGAACCCAGAGACACACGGCGAGAGGAAATTACATGAGCTAGAGCTGCGGCCGGTGACTGGTCCGTGGCCTTTAGGAAACGGGCCAGGCTTCAGCACCTGAGTCTGCACCACACCCACAACACACCCATCCCCAGGCCGTGGAAAAATGGTCTCCGTGGAACTGGCCCCTGGTGCCAAAAAGGCTGGGGACCTCTGATATCTGCTAGAAGGTCAAAGTGCGCTTGCACCTGAAGCTGGGGGGCTGTGTAGAACGTGTCGCCACTCTCTGAAGAGGCTAAAGCAGGCGCCACTGCACGGGAGTGCAGGACACCAGAACTTGCACGCAGGCCCTCACCACCCGTGCGGCACTTCCTTTGATGGAATACATCGTCAAACCTAAGATCAAGCCAACTTCCTCTCCCAGCTGGGCTCCCACAACCCCCAAAACTCTTGCTGTTTTAGTCTTTTCTCTACACAGCAATGGGATTTGCAAATGCAAAATATATCATGTCATTTCCTCATTAGTACCCCTTGATGATCGATCATTTCTCTTAGTGCAAATCCCAAACCCTCCAGGGCTTTTAGTGGCATGCCTGGATTAGCTCCCGCCTTTCCCTCCAGACTCGCCTCCGTCCTCCATATCCCCAGGTCCTCTGCCGTCTCCTGCCATGGACACCACCTCTCCGACCGCACCACTGACGCCCTCCTTGTTCTCCTCGTGCGTAAAGTGTGTGTTAAAGCACTTACGGAAACGCAGCGCCCTTCCCAACCCTCTGTTGATTCAGGCCGCACTGCTCTATCCATGCACCAGCTTGCGCTTTATTGTTTCACAGTGACCATCACAGACAGACATAAGCCAATCGTTCCCTTACGGTTCACTACAGTTTTCTCTTCCCTTCTGCACTGGAGGCTCCACTAAGGCGCAGTCTTGCTCGGTCCTTCCCTTCTGAGACATGTTCACATCTGTAATAGGCCGACTTCACTGCCTGGTCCTTCCAAATCCCTGTGTCCCCAGCAACTGAGACGGCAGCACAGGTCCTGCACATAGCAGGAGATTAAAGATATTCATAGACTTAATGATGGAACAGTGGGCAGGAATAGCATATATGTTCTACATATTGGCTGAATAAAAGAAAATTAAAAAGTGACTTAAGCATTTTAGTGTACATCTTTTGACTCTCAGAGCTTATAATGGATACAGTACTTGGAATCTTCCCTTCTCTCCTTCCTTCCTTCCTTTCTTTTCTAAAATTTCATTAAACAAAACTATTAAAAAGTCTAAGTTATCGTAGGGGAATGTTGGCACTCACATATCTTTATTTGCTCTTTCTTGTCACTGGGAGATAATGTAGATCAACGCATTTCAAACATTTTCTTTTTCAGTCACTCTTTCTACAGTTATTCAATAAATACCAGAGGCAACCACCAGGTTTCAGGTCCACAAGGCCAGTCTCCTAACAGTGCCTACAAGGTGCAGAACTTTCTGCGTATAAGGCTTATAAGCAAAAGAGAAATCTTATTGTAGAATCTTACAGTAATGTGTGTGTGATCGCCATACACCGAAATTATACAATCAGATTCCATCAAAAGATAGAAGAAAGTGTCTAAGGACAAAACTGCCCCCAAGATGGTTTGGTAGAAGCGATTTATCTTCTGACCAGTTGTTGGTGAGGGACCCTCATGAAGCTCTTGCATTACGGCTTGGAGAATTCAATCCCTGCACTTAATCCATCTTGTGTCCTGTGCAGATTTCCCTTTCCTAATAAATAAGCTTCCTCACACTCTTCCTCCATAGATACTACACTTCCTTCTCATGGCCTTTCTAACAGCTTCTTTGAAGTCTTTGTTCCTCAAGCTGTAGATAACTGGGTTCAGCAGTGGAGTGACCACGGTGTAGAAGACAGAAATGACCTTGTTGGCTTCAGGTGACTGGTGGACTTCAGGGTGCACATACATGGAGATCATAGTCCCATAGTAGATAGTGACAACAGCCAGATGGGAACCACAGGTGGAAAAGGTCTTCGTCCGGCCAGAGGCAGAAGGGATTCTCAATATGGAGGACACGATGAGAACATAGGACACCAGTGTCAGAAAAAAACAAATACACAGCACAGCAACTGACAGGATAAAGATGGACATCTCGGTAGCATAAACGTCAGAACATGAGAGCTGCATGAGTGGAGGCAGATCGCAGAAGAAATGGTTGATCCGGTTGGGCCCACAGAAGTCCAACTTAGAAATCATCAGGGAAGGCAGAAGGCCTGTGCCGACTCCTGTCAGCCAGGAGATTGCCACCAGCTTGGTGCAGACGTCAGGACTCATGAGGAAGGAGTAGCGGAGCGGGCTGCAGATGGCCAGATACCGGTCATAGGCCATCGCGGCCAGGAGAAAGCACTCGGTGGCCCCGAAGAACACAAAGAAGTAGAGCTGTGCCATACAGGCGGAGAAGGAGATGGCCTGTCCCCAGGACAGCAGGTTGGCCAGGAGAAGAGGCACAGTGGTGGATGTGTACCAGATCTCCAGAAACGAGAGATGCTTGAGGAACGTGTACATCGGTGACTGCAGTCGCGCGTCCTGGCTCACCGCTGAGATGATGACAACATTCCCTGCGATGGTGAGGAAGTAGACGAGCAGGAAAACGGCAAAGAGCAAGGTCTGCCACTCAAGAAGGTTCTGGAATCCTAACAGCTGAAACTCAGTCACAGTGGACACATTTTGGGGCTGCATTGCCTGTGGCGGGGGTGTGAGGGGAGAAAAATATTTAGGAAAAGCGCAGTATGCAAGGCATGGAAATACTACTATCCATGTTTGCGATTTCAAAGATCAGTTTTATGATAGTTTAGATCCTTGTCTACAGCTTTTTAGGGGACAAATATATAATTCATCTGTTTTCTTTCTTTTTATTTTTAATAGGCACATAATTGTATGTATGTATGGGCATCGTGTGTTATTTCAACACATGTGCAATGTGTAATGATCAAATCAGGGTCATTAGTGTTTCCATCACCTCAAACATTAATCATTTCTTTGTGTTGGGAACATGTAAAATCCACTCTTCTAGCTATTTGAAAATACACACTAACCATTGTTACTATAGTCACTCTCTAGGCTGGAGAGCACTAGAACTTATTCCTCCTGTCTAGCTGTACTTCTGTATCCATGAACCAACCTTCGGCCATCTCTCCTCTATAAGGATGCCTTCTGAAATCACAAACTGAACGTGAATATTAGATCTTGGCAGACATGGAGCAAGTCCCAGTCATTTGGTTCTCTGAATCTTGACATCTCAGACCCAAAGACAGGCAAAAAAGGACTCTGTCTAGTACAGCCAAATGTTCTCCACACAAAAAAGGAAAAGAAGACAGAACATTTTAACTATTAATATTTGAGGTGATGGAAATGTCAATTAGATTGATTGTGATGATTATTTCACATGCACACATGCATCAGAACACCAAGCTCTACCCCTCAAACATACAGTATGCAATTTTATTTTCAATTAGATAATGTTTTACCAATTAAACTGGTTAAAAAAACACAGGAACTAACAATAACAACAATTATTTTAAAAGAATCATGCATACATTGAGGCAAATGTTCTCCTTTGTTCATGTGTGGGCTTTGTGTAAAAAAGACAGACAGACACAACATATCTTCTATGACGCCTCGGGGAAGTTTATTCATTCTACACTCAAACAATATGTATTGATGCCCTGTGTGTGTGTGTGTGTGTGTATGTGTGTGTGTGAGAGAGAGAGAAAGAATAGAGATACTATATTATATAGTATAGATGTATTAATCTATTAAATAGATGTATTAAGCCTATAATATAGATGTATTAACCTATATAGTATCAATATATTAAAGCCTGTAATAATAAGATGTATTAACCCTATATATATGTATTAACCTATAGTATAATGTATTCACCTATAATATAGATGTTATCCTATAATATAGACTATATATAATTTATTCACGTATAATATAGATGTATAACCCTAATTAGATGTATTCACCCATAATATAGATGTTTAACCATAATATAGATAACTTATAGATGTATTACACCCTATATAGTATAGAATATTAACTATAATATAGATGTATTCACCCTATAATATAGTGCTTTCCCATATAATATAGATGTGTTAACCCTGTGCGGAGTTAATCTGTATCTCGCCCCACCGGTTACCTTGCCTGCCGTGGGATACCAGACTTGAGCTTGGCCACTGCGCTCCTCCCTCTTTTCTTTCAGGTAATTCGTTACCCTATGGTGATTCTGGAGCAAAGCCAACCATGCACCTGCCACGCAGGAGCGTCCGTTCCATTGAGGGGTAAGGACACGACACACGGTGTTGCCACTTTGAACTCACATAATAACGCAGCCCTTAGTGCTGAGGAGCAATCCGTTTCACACTTGCTCACCTCTGTCTCTTCCAGTCTCCTAAGGGATATTTCGTTTATGCTCCTCCCTTTTCAAACTTTCCAACACATGCTGTTCTATTCTATCTGACCCTCAACGGGACGCATTTTACTGAAAAAACTGAAATCCTCCAAAGACAATATCTGCAAGCTCGGCCACCAAATTCTCCGGACCTGCCACCTTTTGTTCCCGTGGACCTCCCGCCTCTCCCTCTGAATAAAGCGGCCGGGCGGGCCAGGCGGAGCCCGCGTAGGTGCCGCTCCGGCCCGCACACTGGAAGGCGTCGCGGGTGAAAGAGGCCAGACGTGCCCCTCTGAAAGCCTAAAGGACGCTGAGCCGAGGAGGCTGGGATGCGGGGCGGCCGCGCGCCCTCCGCTTTCCTGACGCGGACAGCGGCTCTGCAGGGCGCGGGCGGCCCCCCCTCCCTCCCCAGACAGGCTGCCGCCCCGCCCAGACCGCCCCGCCCGCCCCGTCCGCCCCAGACGGCTGCCGCCCGCCCGCCGCCCGCCCAGCGCATGCCCCCGCAGACGGCTGCCGCCCGCCCCGCCAGACTGGCTCCCGCCGCCCCCGCCCCAGACGGCCGTCCGCCCGCCCAGCGGCTCCACGCCCGCCCAGCTCCGCCCCACCGCCCGCAAGACGGGCTGCCGCGCCCGCCCCGCCCCAACGGCTGCGCCCGCCCGCCCCAGACTGGCTCCGCCCGCCGCCCAGGATTGCGCTGCCGCCGCCCGCCCCAGGACTGGCTCCCGCCCGCCCGCCCCAGACTGCTCCCGCCCGCCCCGCCCCAGACTGGCTGGCCGCCGCCCGCCCCGCCGCAGACCGGCTCCCGCCCCTCCCGCCCCAGACAGGCTGCCGCCCGCCCTGCCCCAGACGGGCCCTGCCGTCCGCAGCTGGCCACCTTTCGAGAGCCTGGTGACGCCCTTCTGGCTCGCTGTCGTGTCACTGTGGGCTGAGTGACGCTGTCTGTCCGAGCGCCGCGCGAGCAAGGCCTGGACGCCGCTGCCTCGGAGAGCTTCCCAAGGAGACGCGTCCCCAGGGGTGCGAGGGGCTGGCAGGTGCGAACACACGCGTGGTTTTCTCTTGGTCATCCGTGCTTCCATACAGAAACCTGTCCCAGCAACGGACTTACGAGGGTGGAGAAAAGAAAGGTTTTCTCTCCCTTTCACAGATGTTACGTCCTCTCCGTCCCAAGTCCCCGCCCCTTCCCTGCCAGCCCGTCTCCTCAGCCGCCCACAGGCTGGTTTGGCTCCCTTTTTAAAAGACAAGACAGACAACAGTCTGGATGCTCTTCCCTTCTCCAAATGCTGCCCCACTTGTCCGCTCCCTCCTGCGGACCCCTGCCCCTCCGGGCGCCGTCTCCCGGCCAGTTCCTTGCGCACTTGAGTCCACCGCAATCAGGGTGTTTCTCTCACCACTGCCCCAAAGCGCTCTGCCGCGGCCTCACCGCTCCCAGCCACCGTCCTGTTCCTGGTCACCTCGGTCTGTCCGCAGCACTGCCAAGGTGGTCCCGCCCTCTTCCCGGGTCCACTCTTGTCCCTGGACGTCCACGACGACGTGCTCTCTGCCTTCAGCCGCAGCCCTGGCTTCTCACACTCGGGCAGCCCCAGCTGAGCACCTCTGAGCCTCCCTCGTGTGCTTCATGGTTTCAGGCAGTCTCTGGACTTTCAGTGTCATCCCTGTGCTACCTACGCTCACATTCACGTCTCAAGCTTGACTCTAAGCCTTGCGTAAACACCTGCCCTGTTCCACGTGCGCACGCCCACGTCTAATCCGCACGCGCAATTTAACGCGGCCCAACCTGCCCCAAGAGTGTTCCTGACTCACCCACCACCTCCCTCAGCGCAGTCTTTCCCGGGTCACTAAGGGGCACTCCGCCCCTCCACTTGCTTGGGCTCGGAACCTTGAATTTGACTCTCGTCCCTCTCCGCCCCAATATCGGATTTATTTTTCAGAAAAATCAGCGGGCTCTACCTGAAAATATATCCAGAATCTGATTTGATCACCATTCACCACAGCAGCGCTTATTTCCCGTGAAAAAATGCCACTGCCTCTCACCCAGATTGTCACAGTGGTCTCCTTGCAGCCCTTCCGTGTCCACCCTGCCCTGCTCAATACAGCAGCCAAGGTGAGATTGTTAAAGCACACAACAGCTCACACGGGGACACAGATGTGCTGTGGATCGTTCCTTGAGGGAATAAAACACTGTGACTGAACAGTCAGCACATTCACCTCTGCCGATGGTCACCAAATAGGAATCAACTGTCTGCTCTCTTGTGTTTCTGTTTTTCATCTCTGTAGTGACTTATTTTGGCTGTGCACTGTGTTCCCCTCTCACGCTGGGGCAAAATTCCTGGGACTGTGATCTTTAAGTACCTAGGAATGTTTATGTCAGGTGAAAAAGGTGCCTTAACAAGATGTTTGCGCTTGCCACCAGGAGCACAGTACTGGACGTGTGGTACGTACTGAACTGCATAGTACTTGTGATTTCCTAAATAAAGCTTAAGGGAACAGGCCAAAGCCTCGACAGTTTACCTGGCCCTACTTGTTCTCTCCTCCCACCTGCCCTCTGCTTCCCTCCTCGTCCACTCTGTGCACAGCCCTCGGTTTCCTTAGAGTTCTGCCGACTACCCTGGACTTGCCTTCTATCCTTCAATCCTGCTTCATTCCGCTTCCTGCAATACTGTCCCCGAGCGTTCCTGGTGGCTCATTGCTCCTGTCCTTCTGGTCTGCTCAGATGCCACCTTCTCTGTGATGTCCACTGACTGCTCCTCTGCCTTTCCCACAGCTTCTGACACAGGTTCGCGACAAAAGTGTATGCATGTCTTGCTGTGAAGGCAGAATATTCCCGAAGTTCTAGCTTGAAAAAAACATTGAATGAACAACTGAGGGATACTAGAAAATTGTTACGTAAGCCACATAGATGGACATGCTCAGAAAGAGGGAGATGCATTGGAGGATTTCTTGAGACACGGCTCTGCTCAAATTCTCTTAGTAAATAACAATGCCATCTTGGAATTTTTTTCTCTTGGCTTTCACTCAGTTTTTGTGGTAAGACTATTACCATGCAATCCAATTTAAAATGGAGAGTGAATCCGTAAGAAATAATTCAAACATGGGGAACAACGAGGGCTAGGTTTGGGAGGCCAGAAGGAAAGCAAAATAGCATTGCATTGTTTACAGAGCATGTGGATCGATTTCCTAGTTATCTGAAGTATCCCACACAAGACACATTCAAATGCACCAGGAAACTGAACTTTTTAAATCAACATTTATTCCTTAAATACCTTCAGTAATGAGGAGCCCACCACTTCTTGAAACATTGCTTATTTCCCAATGCTAAAATTACCTTAATTATAAGGAGCTGTAAAAAAAATAAAAAACAACAATAAAGAAAAAAAGAAAAGGAAAAAAATATCTGCCTCCCAAAATACTGAGTTGGCTTTAGTGCTAGGGCAACTAGTGTACCCTCAGACAGATGTAACGTTGTAGTTTTCTTTGAAATTATATGAAAATAAACATAATCAAGAATGTTATTTTTCTCAGATACAACATTACCTAAAGTATACTAAATGGCTTTTTTACTTCTCAAGAAGTCTTTCTTGGTTACATTTTTATTGTTACAGTTTTATATGCTACTGAATTTAAGCAAGATCTATTGAAGTCAGTATAATTTTGGAATCCAACATCCACAACCACAACAACCCAAACAAGAAAATTTATGTCATTTGACACTAAAACACACACCATGTTGATTCCCTTCTGGGAAAATCTGCACTTACTGCACTAGCCTCCCCTACCTGTGCCTCCAGTGACTGCCTTCCCTCCTCTGGCCCTCATTCAGATGTGCTTTCATTGTGAGATCTGGAATGTGCCGTCTTTGCCGGGGTTTGACACTGGGTGAGGCAGGCTTCTTTCAGTAACCCTGAGTTTCTTGGGGACCTAGCTCTTCTGAGAATCCTCTTCCCCAAGTATTCTGTAATTTGCCAATCAAGTTAGTAAACAGTGAAATCAACCTCCTGAGATTTTGACTCTACCTGTTGAGGCCTAGATGTTGATAAAACACTCAGAATAGATGCTATTCTTACATTCTTTTTGAAATAGAATTTAACAATTTAACTTAGGAAAGGTACCAATAATGTTGAACCCAAAATTGAATCAAATAAAAAGGTGTTTCACTAACACCATCAGGCAATTAGCGAGTGAACTATTCTGACCATTGAATATAAAATAGCTGCTTTTTGTTGAATGGTATTAATAGTTTTCCACCACACTTTAATTACAGATGTGGCCAAATGGAAAAAAAAATTATGCCTGCAAATTAATTAATTTATTCAATTAAAGCAATCTGTACCGAAGCTCTTTCTAAGTGTGCATCTGTTAATTTAACAAAGAAAATGCAATATATGAATTGATCTGAGAGGCTTAGTTTGAGTTTTAGAAGACATATTGAAAAATACAAGATTCTCAACCCATTCCTAATGTAGCAGGACTTTTTTAAAAGTCCCAGTATACAGAAGTATGTCTAATTAAGAAGAGCTAATTTATTATTTCTAATTAAATTTGTATCTTCTAGTTTAAAATAAACTATTAAAAGATTAAATAAATGGATGAATAGGAACAAACAATCACTTACTTTTTCCTTTGATTCCCTTATTTAACAAATATGCACACAGCACCTACTATGCGTCTGGGGCTCTTTCAGGCATTAGGGTCCATCACTGAATCACATGGCGCTGCAGTCTGATGGGGTAGGCTAGCATTTATTGTCGACTGATGTTGAATTTAACTAATCTGCATTTTTCAAAATAATATGATTCATGTGTATAGTTTTTAGAAAACTTGGAGAAGGAAAGACAATACAGACAAAATTATATCTTTTTAAATACCCACAGTATGGTCTTCCAGAGTTGGGAACCTTGTGTCTCAACTTCCAAATTTTTGTGTGTCCCACATATGGGCTAGTACAGTTGGGTTACTACTTATACAGCCTGCATCTTGGCTTTTTTTGTAGTTATTAAGACTTTTATGGTTAACTTCTATCATAACTTTTTCTCCTCCTGTTACATTTTAGGAAAAAAATAAATAAAAATCGAATTTTGGATTGCATCATAGTCTATTGTTTGGGGAGGGCTTTTCATGTCTTATCCCAAATCTGGATCTTGTAGTATCTCTCTCCACTCTTGCAGAGAGAGGCATGCTAGAGTCTGCAAAGCGATTATGTACCCACTGTCTCTGACAGCTGCAGAAATGAAATAACAGAACTTCTGCACACATCAGCAACAGCTGAAGAAATGCCCAGGGCGTGTGCTCAGACCTACAAATCCTTCGCGGCCTACACGTGAGGGAGAGCCAGCCAGAAGGAACCTGGAACATAAGCAGCGAATACAGCCCCCGCCAGAAGGTGTCTGGCTCGACCAGCCAGCCTGGGCTTCCTGTAGGGGCAGGTCACGGCAGCAGGGGGTGGTGTCAGGAAGCCACGCTCTGCTCTTCAGCCTTATTGTGACGGGGGTGCACATCTCCTTTGAGCATTTATGTAGTTGGAGTCCCAGCGCTAAGGGCTGTATTATATGCACCGCTTTATCTCACCTTCACACTAGGTCTGCATGTTGGCTGATAATTTACAAGTAAGGAAGCTGAGCCCAGAAGGTGGGTGATGGGCCCAGGTCACCCAGCTCGAGGCTGCTGCGGCACTGTGAGTCCCACACCGAATCTCTGGATGCAGAGGCCGGGTTTGCCAACACAACTCTCTGCCGTTCCTGTAGCGCCAGAGTGGTGGAGCTCTGCCTTACCAAACACAAGTGTGCGCAAAATAATGACAGAGAAGCTATTTTTATTTAAAGCCGTAGAAGTCTCACACAGCGCGGGGACAGAGCTGCCTTTAAGGTCTGTGCTTGAGAAGCTCCGAGACAATGTGGTACTTGGTGAATGGAGGACGTCCTGCGGTTTCAGAATCGTGCCAAGAGCAAAGTAATGAAGAAGTAGAGGCATTTCATCTGATTTAGAGAAGACAAGAGAGGATATATATCAATCACCTTATACGCAGAATTAAGTGGTTTTACAAGAGGAAATAATATTGTTCTGTTTCACCATAAAAATAGAAACGCCATTAATAGATGACGGCTTTAGGAAAATATATTTTGATTCAATAAAGGAAGAACATCTAAAACTCAGGCTCGAAGTTGTTTGGAATATTATCACTTGGTTAGATTATACAAGGGAGTAATCATTTAATAGATGGGGTAGATATCCAAATGTTTTCTAAAGTTTAATTCAATGATTTCATAAGCAAAAATTATTTTGAACTAACTTAAGGGCGTAACTTATTGAGAAAATCTAAATTCAATTTTTTCAGTATAGGTACTGCCTCTGCCTGTGGATTTTCCAAGATGCATTAGTCAAGGCTTTCCTTCCGAAAAGCTACCACCTCCTTCGAAACCCACCCAAAGACTATGTCATTGCTTACCTACGGGGGATTTGATATGTGATGGGCACAGTCATCTCTAGGCTCCAGGAATTCTAAGTCCAGCCATCTAAAAGGTTGGAGGAGTTATCTTAAAATACAATATATTTATTTTAAATTTCTTGTAAAGTAAGAACAGAGATTACCCAAACCTTATATCTCATCTCTTGTTGTGCTCTCCACGTATCTATATGGTGTGATGGGGCCATTTTGAATGATGCTTTGCATTATATTTCTAGCAAAGTGATAGGGTGACATTGTATTTTTTTAGAATTTCTTAATATCCAAGGGCCATCTTGGCAATATGGTCAATTTTAATTTGGAACAACTGCGTGGAATCAAGTAACTGTATAAAACTGGTGAATTATTTGAAGCAGGCAGCCTCCGAATATAAATAACCAATCTAGGAATCAATAGTTATTCTTCTCAAGTCAGCCACGTCTTAAATTTAGCAGG